AGAGAATAAATAACAAGAATTTGATCACTGGATCAATTTTAATGAATAGAAAACTGTGATATTTGATATTTGGAAGTGTTACATAAACTGATCCAGAGACATCTATTGAACTCTAGAAACAAGATGGTAGGTTATGACTTGCATTCAAGCCTGTCACAACCTTTGAAACATAAACAAATTTTATCTTCACTAAGCCAAGAAATTATATTTCCTAAACTATTTGGTAACATTAATATAAAAAATTTTAAAACCTGAACCGTAAATGTAAAAAATTTAAATCGTCAATGATTATAAAAACTAATCAATAAGAAAACTACTAGTCCTTTTGGAAATGAATGAAATGTTAATTGAAAGATAACAAACTGCTGATAACAAAAAGACATGTATTGAAACTATAAAAAAATAACTGAAAATAAAAAGCTTAGGGAACCTTTAGGTAACAATTTAAATAATCATGAAACTGTAAAAAGCAATGCAGAATTTAGAAACCATCTACATAGTGCCATAATGCTTACATGTCACACCTTTTAACAAGGGACCTGTAGCAGTGAAAAGCAAAAGGAGTACTCTCACCAAACAATTCTATGAAATGATTTTTGTTATATTGTCAGTGAATCCTATGATTATTCAAATTAATCATTTTAATAATCTTTTGTATTACAATCAATAACTGAGTCAACTTATCACAGTTGATTATAAATTCTGTAAACATTAAAATTAATTTATGGCCCTCAGTCTGCCATAATAGAAATTGAATAACATTTTTGACAAAATAAATTTTATCAACTAAGTAGCATATATAATTCCACAATCAATGTACAAATAAACTGTTAAAAAAAAAAATAGCTGTCATATTTTTCACATTTTTTCAATAAATATTAACACGAGTTTATTGCCCTCAGCCTGCCATAATGGAAAACTGAATAAAATCTGTTTCTGAAATAAAATAATATTCCTGATAAAAACAGAGAGAGAGAGGTGATTAGAAGTTTTAAAAATTAAATCAGCATCTCAGTTTTATACAAAATGAAAAAAGACTTGAAATTATAACAAATAAAAATTTACTTGGTTAAGAAATACTGTTTTTCAATGATTATTATTATTATTGAACAGAAAAAAAATCAAAAAAATAAAGAAAGAATATAATTCAAGTAAAATGTTGCTAATAAAAAAAGGTAAAACCTTTTCATAAAATTGGTTTGAAACTTGTTAGATATCTGGGAAAAGAATGGTTGAAAACTTTCTCTTCAAGAATTCCATGCACATTTTAATAACTTCTGAGATATAAAAACTTGAATTTAATTGATGCACAATAAGAAAGATTCAAGTCTTTGTATATAGTATATACACCATTTATCCATATTTTATGGAGTTTATATACAAAATACACACATTATATATTGATAAATATTGTGAGGTTTTATCCTTCACTTGAATTTTTTTTTTAATCTGTAATGGTTATAAAAATTCTTACTAAAGATAGGCTGAAAATACATAATCAAACCATATTTTATATCTAGTTTTTATCTGAATGTAACAGCATTCATAAATTGTAGGCTTATATGTGTTCATTATCTATGTAGTATATTGCATATAAATAATGATATGTAATTTTCTTATGCACCCAGACACGTTTTACATAATGATCATGTTGAATACTACTACATGGAAAAACACAGAACAATTCACTGATTTTTAGTGTCATTAGTTGTTGTAGGTGAAAATTCACAGCCATTATCACCACTGAAAATAATGTCTATAGATTTAAAGGTTAATTTTTCATACCACCAAGAATTTCTTGCAGCAAAACTTCTAACCAAATTAATTTCTAGGTTATATTTTAAAGATATTTTATAAATAATGCTAGGAGGGGGATTTGTTTTTATCAAAGTTTGTAAATAGATGTTGAATGGAACAAAATATGAACAAACACTTTTTCAAACTATTTCATTCAATCTTTAATCCAAGCAAATGTTGTGCTAATAAATTATCTTTTAAGTTTTGAATAAGAAATTCTTGTTGTGGCAATTTGAATAAAGGTTGTGTTCATTTGATTGTAATTTAACTTTATGTTGTAGCATATAAGCAATAGTCATTGCAAAATGGCTATTAAGAAAATAGGTAGAAAATTGATACCTAAAAGACAGATTTTATCAAATATGGAGACTATTTTCTCAGTAAATAAAACAACTCCCAGTGCAATAGATAAAAGGAAGAAACAAAATGGTGTTAGGAAGTGACCATCTGACAACATATTGATAGAATTAGCTATTTCAGAAAAATTTATGAATGAATTTTAAGAAAAAATTACATTTGAAGCATTCCATAAAGTTAAAAATCAACCCTAGCTTTAAAGTTTGAATTATAGATAGAAAGAGATATATAGCCTAATAAATTCTCTTGTGAGTACAAATTTAACTTTCTGAACAGTAAAGATATCTAAAATTCAGAATAATGAAAACACTTAAAATCTGGGAAAAAATTCTGCAAAAAGATCATAAAAAAAGGTTGAATAACTGAATAGCTAAAATGAAACTGTAAAACTTGGCAAATCAATGATGCCAAAATATTAAATTAGAAATCTGAGGTGAGGGGGGAGAGGAGTTTTGAGATGTGCTCTTTCCTACAATTTCAAGTAGAAATCACAGAAAGACAATTTCAAAATTGTATTTCTTTCAACGTTTTTCATTCCAAGGTTAGTGATTGAGTGCAAAATGAACTTAATCCAATCCATAACTACCATTCCAGCACCATTTTGTTTTTCAAAACCTTTAACAGCCATCAGTTTGAGAGCACTTGGAATTATACTCCAGAAACTACCAACTGCACAGCACCAAATTGAAACAATCTTTTATCTTTTAGAACGATACTCTAGTTCATATTTTGTCTTCCTAAAAGGCAAAGCATACTGACTGTTTTACTTTAATAGAGCTGAAGATAAAACACTTACAAAAAGATTTTTTCTGCGTAACTGATTTCACAAAAAAGTAATGGTTTATATACTTGGAGAAAGACGAGATACATCCATTCCTTATTTGCTCATGTACAACAGCAGCAACAAGAGTCCAAAGAAACGTGGGAAATTGAGCAAAATTTAGATACAGCAACAAGAATGGTGAAATTACAGTAAAATATATTTTCATTTTAGTTTGATATAGAGTAATTCAGAATGTCTGTTCTTAGAATGTATGCATTTTCTAAAGGATATTCTGAAGATATAAAAAAATGCTTAAAATGACTAAAATCCACTGATTTCTTTTAAAACACATGATCACAAAGCAAACATATACAATACTAGATACAGGCATACAGTAGTCAAAGATTTAATTATATTTAATAAAAAATTAATAAAACAATATCTCATTAGTGAAATTGTAAAAAAAAAAACAATCATAGAAAATACTTCTAATTTTAATTCTCTTTTAAATGAAAAAATAATCAAATAACCAAACTAGAGAAAAAGAAAAAAATTCCGTATATAAAAAGAATTGAAATTTTATAACCTGTTATTCATATATATATATATATATATATATATATATATATATATATAACCAGTTTACAATGTGAACATCAAATACAATTTGTTAATACAATTAAATTCAAATAAATTGTCATATTAGAATTGATAATAACCAAATATTTTAGGAACAAGAAAACAGAGCATATTAATTTAAATATTTTCTTCAGTTTGCATAATAAATGTTAATGTTTCTTCATTGTAAGAACTAGATCATGTGTTCCAAATCAAATTTTGTGAATAACTTAAAATTGATAAAGTAGATAAAAAAAAAATATTTTTCCACCTACTTTTACATTGTCAGAGATTTTCATCTGGCATTTATTCTTAATTTGGAACTATCTTCACAGAAATCATTTGTTTTAAATTTCAATGTATAGTTTTATTTTTTTTCCTCTCTTAAACAAGAAATGTGCTAAATTTTTATAAGTAAATATAAATAAAGCATATCGGTTATCTTAGGTGATCTGAACAAAAGCAGGTGATCAATTGAGAAAATACCATAAACCACTCTATTATCCAGTTCCCTTAAAAATGACAGAACTAATAATTTCTCAGCCTGTTTACTTTTGTAAACTTTACATTTAAAAATATATATTTTTTTTTTATAATTTGTTGTTTGCTCTGAGTTATTCTTTAGTTTATTTAAAATTTTTAGCACTGATAGTATTTCAACTATATTGAAAGGCTTTTTAAGATTACAGGTAATATTTTCAAGAAGTATTACAGCTATTCTTATACAAGAAATAAAGTTACAACTATACTAAAATAATCAAAATTGATGCAGGAGAATCAGACAAGATAATGGCTTCAATGAGTAAGGCAAAAATGATATAAAGAATTGATTTCATTATAATTACAATAGAACATTAAGTATAGCCTAAAAATATTACTTAGGTTAAAAATTATTTTTTCAAGATACGTTTTTTCTTTTATTAATAAAATATTTTGATGTTGTTTATGGTTAGTAGCTAAGAATACTACAGTACTTGCTGTTTTGTCACTGCAATAGTTGTCAGAGTGGCCATAATACCTGTTAATACAACAAACCAGTTAAAATGTACTTATCTATGTACTTATCATAATCAACTATTTTTTGCCATTATCATTATAATGTTATAAAAGTACAAGTGGTGGTCAGTTGGATAGCAGTTTCAATATACTTAGAAATGTATTATGAGGTACAACATACATGTTTTCCCAACTATACACAGAAAAAAATACAAGTCACAGAAGAAAGAGGAATAAGAAAATGAGATAAAGATCAATAGGGAAGGAAGACTGAAGGCAAGAGTAAATAAAATAGCAAAAGTGCTATGATTTGAATGAAGAGTTAAAGAGACAGAATGTATATGCAACAGTAGTTGCAATGTTACTAGTAATAGTAGTAATAATCTTGGTGTGTGCTATAATGGGTTGGTAGTCATCTGTAGCATGTCCATACTTCAGTGGTAATTGTTAACATAGTAATATGTTGTATTTAGTTGGAAGTGTCACCATCTCCTGGTTCTGCAAACAGACCTCGAACATCTAAAGTGTTTGCTAAATCCAGCATACTCTTGTAAAGTAAAGGATGCTCAAGTATCTCATCTGTTGGTAATGATGGATGAGATGTTGGAAAATAACTCGGACCCTGAAAAAAAATTTAAAAAATGTAATGCATTGTAAATAATTTACAATTTATTATAGTAACTCAGATAGCAAGAAAACTCTTATAGTGATAGTATTCACTAGATTGTCTCATTAGTAATCATTATTACATAATTAAAAAACTCCATATAGCTAATTGTAACAGCCAGATCAGGATATTACTTACAATCATTTATAATTTAAATTTCTAAGAAAGAACATATACCAAATTTGTGGTTCAAACTATGATTTTGTGAGAAATTTATTAATTTGATCATGATTACTTATACCCAGAGTCAGCAACCCCTGGTCCCTCGGGCCACATCCAGCCCTAAAAGGATTTTTGTCCAGCCTGCCAACTTAAACATAGTTTCTCACCAACAAAGAAGAGCCAAATGAGACAATAATACAGTATGTACACAAGCTATGAGAGGCTTCCAGATTCTGTGAGTTTGAAAAACTTGGTACTGGAGAAATGACCATCGAAGATGAATTGATACAGTTGAGGTTAATTGAAGGTATTTGCGATGCTTCATGCAAACACAAAATTTTAGAATGGTTACAACTGACTAAAATGTGTTTGGATGCATCTATAGAGTTTCTGCAACAATTAGAGTTGATTGAAAACTTCAATACATCCAAGAGTAATGTTGAAGCATACAGCATATCAAATTACTATATGCCAATACAAATACTGTAATAAAAAGCATGAATGAGACAAGAAAAAATGTTTAGCTTTAGGGCAAGTATGCTGGAATTGTAAAAAGAAACAACATTTCCAGCCTGTGTGAAAGCATAAAAGGAAAATAGAAAGGATAGAAAATTTACCGCCCCCTCAGGAAAATACAGCTGTATATACAATACAATGGCCTAAGGAGAAAAGTGCCAGTGAAAAAATTAAATTGAATGGTATAACACTTATGCAAGTAGATACTGGCAGTGATGTCACCTTAATCCCAATAAATTTGTGGGAACAAATGGGCGAATCCAAATTAAAGAAAAGTCGGCTTAAACTAAGGCAGTTCAATGGCTCTTTCATCAAAATGTTAAGTTGTTTTGAAGAAACTTTTGAGGCCAATACACACTTCAAAATTATTCCCATTGTGGTAGTGAAATGTGAAAAAAGTCATGGTCTCATGAGAATAGATTTCTTGAAAGTAGATACAACCAAATTAATTAACAGTGTGAAATTGGAAAGCAATGACATGGATATATCAAAAAGACACAAAGTGAGCATTCAATTAAAAGAAAATAGTCACCCATCTTATTTTGACTCTCATAGACTTCCCATTCATATGCTACCTTTTAGTAGACTAAAAACATATGCTACCTTTTAGTAAACTAAAAACAATAGTGCATTAAAGAATTATAGAGCATGTTCCCCCTGGAAGTAGTAATTGGGCCTCACCATTGTTGTTTTACAAAAACCGGATGGAGATTTAAGGATATGTGGGGATTACAAAATAGGAGTAAACTTCAAAATATGCTCTAATTCATTCCCTATTCTTAACATTGAAACTGCTATTCACAAGTTATTGGGTATTAAACACTTTGCTAAAATTGACCTCAAATCTGCCTATAACTAGATACAAATTGATGAAAAGTTTAAAAAGGTCACTACAATTAACTCTCCAATAGGATTTCTCAGATGGAAGAATATGCCTTATGGTGTAAAAAACAGCAAGTGCTATTTTCCAAAGAGCCATTGAAAATGTACTAACTGATGTTAAGGATATGATCATCTATCAAGACAATATATGTGTTTAGATCCAAAAAAAAAAAAATGGCTTCTAAGTTTATTTCCCCACCTGCCTTAAACACGGACAAGTACAATACTTGGAAAAAAAAGAAATGCAAGTGTGGGAACTTGCCACCAACTTAAGATACACAGATGCCTCAGTGGTACTTCTATCCTTGGAAGGAAAGGCCAGGAAGCTGTACTAGAATTGGACATTGCCACCCTAAATGCCGATGATGGCATGGGAAAAGAATTATACCAAAAAACTGGACACACTTTTCTTGGAATGCAATACAAAACCAGGTGGCTTTTACAGCATATGAATCCAAGCATAATGAGATGCTCCATACACAAGACAGAGCACTGATTCAATTGATGATTTTCTTATCTGCTTCAATCGTCACATTGCATAATTAAAGGAACACAAAATATCGCTGCCTGAATCAGTTCTCAGGTACAGGGTATTAAAAAGTGCAAATTTCACCTCAGAGTATGAACGGCTGGTGAAAGCCACGGTTAAGGAACTTACTCATACCAAAATGTCTAAACAATTAAAGAAAATTCTGCATAGACAATATTGTGATGCTTCGTCACCCACTACTCCGCCAGTAGTGAGAAAAAATGAAATGGTTGTTGCTTTCAGCATGGATAACCAGGAGGAGCAATCTAGTAGGACATTTTACATTTGTTGTTCAAAGAGAACTTCTTGCTTTTCTGGTCGATGAGGTAATGGCAGGAGGGGTTGTAACAAAAATTCAACATGCTCAACTGATAAAAATTTAACCCCACTAGGACCCGAAGGCAACACCATTAAATGTTTCACATGTGGATGCAAATTCCACTGGGCTCACAAATGTCCTTATGCAGAACATACCTTGCATAAAAAGGAAGACAATGAAAATGTACTCATATCTAACCTTGTGCTGATGAGTCAGCAAAAAGGGGAAGATATGGCTAACATGTTTTTGGGTGAAACACTTGGCTCAGTTGTCTTGGATTCTGGTGCCTCTGGGACTGTTTGTGGAAAGAAATGGTATGAGTGTTTTCTTGAAACCATACCAGAAAAAAAAAAAAAAAAAAAAGTTAAAGACAAAGTGAGAACATATAAGTTTGGTGATGAAACAAACTCAAATCCATCTACACAGTCACTCTATTGTGTGTCATTGCCGGCATTGAAGTCAGTATCATAACTGACATTGTGGACTCTGACATACCACTTCTGTTAAGCAAAAATTCCATGAAAAGAGCCAGGACATGCCTCAATTTTGAGAATGACACTGTTACCATGCTGGGGAGAAAAGTCCCAATGCAGTGTACTTCATTTGATCACTACCACATCCCTATTAGCAGACCTCTACCAGACTGAGATAAGTTCAATCAAATTTTATTTATTAAAGAAGTTGTTAGTAAAAATAGACTAGAGAAAATTAAAATTGCCACAAAGTTGCATAGACAATTCAGTCACCCCAGCAGCAAAAAGCTATGTGATTTAGTGAGAAATGCTGGAATGAGAGATTCTGAATTTATTAAAATTCTACAAGAACTTCCTAATTCATGTGAAATTTGCATGAGGTACAAAAGGGCTGAACCTAGACCCATTGTTGGATTCTCATTAGGAACCTATTTCAATGAGAGCATTGCCATGGACATCAAAGAAATTAATGGCAACAAGGTACTGCACCTAACTGACCATGGTACAAGATACAGTGTTGGAGTCAGGATTCCTAGTAAGGAAAGTTCTGACATCATTAATGCCATCTTCAAGCACTGGGTTGCGTATTTTGGAACTCTGGGATTTATTCTCACTGACAATGGCAGAGAGTTTAATAACCAGTCATTTAGAGATATGGGCAAAATTTAAAATTTAAACATTGTGGTACGTACCACTGCTGCTGAAAGTCCTTGGAGCAATGGGTTAAATGAAAGACACAATGGGATATTGGGAGAAATGGTAAAGAAAACCATAGAAGATACCAATTGTAGTTTCAAGGTAGCACTTGCATGGGCCATAAGTGCCAAAAACACACTTCACAGTGTTCATGGATACAGTCCCAATCAACTTGTTTTTGGCAAAAATCCCAACCTACCTGCTTTTCCAAATGACAAACTTCCTACATTAGAAGGTGTTTCCACCGGTGAAGTTGTTGCAGATAACCTAAACTCTATGCATGCTACCAGGAAACAATTCATAGCATGTGAGTCCTCGGAGAAACTAAGACATGCACTTCGTCACCAAGTTAGAACAGGTATAGCACAATCCTACAAAAATGGCGATGCTGTCTTTTTAAAAAAAACCTGTGTGATAGATGGCTTGGTCCAGGAACTGTTATAGGGTGGGAACATAAGCAGGTGCTTGTCAAACATGGTGGCACATATGTAAGGGTACATCCATCTCGCTTAACACCCTACCCTGAGACATATCAAAGTTCTTCCAAGGACAGCATCAAGGAACCTAGTACCTCACAGAAAAGGCTTGAAGAATCTCCAGAAGTACCAATTTCTGAAGAGTTTGATATGAATGAAGATTTGGGAACCACAAACAACAATGTTGAGCAACATCAGACTGTAGAAGCAAGAGATAGACCACATAAGCAGGACTTTACTCCAAAGAAAATTGAGCTTCCTAAACCAGGACAAACTATTAAATGCAAGCTTGCCAATGACACAGAACCAGAATGGAAAAAATTAAATGTCATAAGTAGGGCAGGCAAAGCAACAGGCAAAAACAAGCATTTGATGAATGTGGTTATGGAACAGGGTGAACCTTTTTGGCTGGACTTTGAGCATGGGGTATCAGAGTGGCAAACAAGTGAGGTTGAGAAAACTGAACATGAACACACTTCTTGTGATGAGGAAAATATAATGATTTCCTCCTCTAATGATGACCTGGAACTGGAAGAGGCAAGAAAGGAAGAGCTCCAAAGCTGGGTTGAAAATAAAGTGTACATCCAAGTACCTGACCAAGGTCAACCAAAAATTTCCACAAGATGGATTTACAAAAATAAAAATTCCAATGGCAAGCAAACCTATAAAGCCAGACTTGTGGCAAGAGGCTTCGAGGATAGAGACACTAACAACATAAGGAATGATTCTCCCACATACTCTAAAAAAGGTTTATGCATAGCACTGGCAATAATGGCAGCTAACCAGTGGATATGCAAATCAATGGACATAAAGACAGCATTCCTGCAGAGCAAGCAGTTGGATCGACTGGTTTATCTGGATCCTCCTAAAAAGCCAATGTACCTCAGGGCCATATTTGGAAACTCTCAAAATGTGTATATGGCTTGACTGATGCTTCTAGGTCCTGGTACCTAACACTCAAGGAGAAATTAATGAAATCAGGAGCAATAGCTTCAAAAAATATGATCAAGCAATATTTACATGGCATTTTGGAAACAAACTGCAAGGTATAATTGCTGCTCATGTTGATGATTTTTTGCTTTGCAGGGTCAGAGATCTTTCAAAGCAGAGTTATAGACAGGCTTTGTCATGTATTTGCAGTTAAAACTGAAGAAACTGCTGAGTTCAATACATAGGATTAGATATAAAAAAAAAAAGAATAATGAGAATATCAAACTTGGACAAAATGAGTATGTAAAGAAATTAAAATATATTCAAGTAGAAGCAGACAGGAACCTTAAAGACACAATTTCCACAACAGAAATTACTGAAATCAGGCAAGTTATTGGTCAACTTAACTGGCTGGCCACCCAAACCAGACCTGATCTAAGTTATGATGTTAGTGCATTAAGCTCCATTCTAAAACAACAAAATGTAGAATGTATAAAACAAGCCAATAGAGTAGTTAAGAAAGCAAAAAAGGAAAAATCACAGATAGACATCCCTGACTTAGGAAACCTTAAGCATTTAAAAATTGTTGCATATAGTGATGCTTCTTTCGCTAATTTGACAGATGGAGGATCACAAGGAGGCTATATACTCTTTTTGGTAGGAAATAATAATAAATATATGCCCATTGCATGGCAATCCAAACGCATTAGAAGGGTGGTCAAAAGTACACTGGCTGCTGAAACTCTAGCCATGGTTGACATGTCAGAAGCCTGCCTGTTTTACAGAAAACTATTATTGGAATTACTGCAACTAAAAGATGAAACTGAGAACATTAAGATCATATGCAAAACTGACAATTCCTGTCTCTATGACTCAGTACATTCATCAACACAGATTTTGGACAAGAGACTTCGCATTGAGATGGCCATTTTGAGAGAAATGTTGGACAGAAAGGAAATTGCAGAGTTCTCTTGGATACCAACTGATGAACAAGTTGCAGACTCCTTGACAAAGAAAGGAGTACCATCATTTAAAATCCTTGGCTTTATATCAGAGCCCAAGGAATCATCTGTTTAATAAATTCAAAATTTTTTTTAATCTCTTTTTCAGATGGTCATCTGAAAAAGAAAAGAAAAAGGGAAGAAATCAACGGGAAACCTTCTCTAATTGTGAGGTACGATTCGGAAACACAGGGGTGGGGACAGTTGTTACCACCCGTGGTGTTGGAAGGTCCTAAATAAATTCTCTCTCCACACTTGTTGGAGTCATTTATTTAATTCACAATATGTATTGGTGCTACCAGTAGAGAAGAGCTAAAACAAAAAATGGATTATGTTTTAAACAAATTAAAAAATGCTGGGATGTGTTAAATTGTGAAACAATACCATATGTGGGATACCAGATTTTCAGAGAAACTGCTATGGTCAAGAATGATGATGATATTTCAAAAAAATGATGATGATATTCTAAAAATAACCTTGTCATCAGTGATGATAGAAAAGAGGGATATTTCTTCATCCTAACCCTCATCATTATAACCCTTCCACCACAAGAGAGTCAGTAGAGTAATGTAGACTAAGGTACCCGTAGCATTAGTCAGTAGACAAGTAGCAATACAGAAACACACATCTGCCAGTGCTCCAGGAAGATCAAAAACAGACAATTTCAAATGCATCTACACAAACGAAATTCTCAGAACAAAACCAAGTAAGCACTGATTTTTAAACAAAAGAGATATTGAGAACATTTTTACGCACACATACCAATATACTGTAATTCACATCACAAAAAGAAAATACAAATTCTTGTTATTTATGCCAACACATGTCCCAACTTTTTACTGTTGTTATCATTGTATGTTTTATGCATTTTGATTTCCATCATTAATATCAACTCCATTACAGCCAACAAATAATAACGGGGAAAATAATACATCAACAACCAATACCCCCCCCCCCGTTACAACACAAATTTGATAAAGAAAATAGTAAAGATAGCTGTACTCACAAATAAAAAAAAAAATTAGAATCTTTTTCAAGGTCAGTCATTTTAGTTGTGAATTTGCAGAGTTACAAGAAAAGAACAAATTTTTCAAATGCTGTATTCTGCCATTCAGTGCATTTAAATTTGTTAAGAACAAACTTAAAAAAAAAAAAAAAAGCATTGTAAAAATTTTTTACCCTAAAAAAAAAGTGACTTTAAATATGGATGCAAGAGAGTGTGCCATATCAGTGATTGTCTCAAGAAGGTCATCCTATAATGTACCTTTCTAGAAAGTTAACATCAACTGAGGTTAACTATTCAAATATTGCAAAAAAAAAGTGTTAGCTGTCATATGGAACACGAATAAAGCTCACCAATTCTTATTAGGTAGGAAGTTTCTGCTTACCATAAAACTTTACAGCTTATTTTTAATTTGAGGAAAGAGTGACCTAAAGTTACATTTTCTAGAATTTTAAGATGGGTTGATGGCCTTTGACTTCAATATTGAATATGTGAAAGAAAATACTATTCCACATATTGATGCTCTATCAAGACTAAAATTCAGCAATGAATCATTAGAAAGATCAGACAATCCAGAAGATAAAATATTGGATTGGATTGAAACAGATGTATTACTCTTAGATCATCTTGCATTTGAAACCTTACAGGATCTGATATTAAGCAAGATTGCATGTAGAATAAAATGAAACACGTGGAGTGTTTTTTTAGAGCAGAGACACCTTATAAAGAGATAAAGCACAGGTTAACTATATAAAAGGGTATTATATACAATAGAGGATGTTTTAATACCACCAGAGAAATTAAGAAAAGACATAAGTGCACATAATGATGTTCATTGTGAAATAACAGCAACACAGAGACAATTAAAACAAATTGTATGCCTCCCTTATAAAACACTACCATACCATCCACAATCGAATAAAATTGCAGAAAGAATGGTGCTGACAGTGAAAATGAGATTGAAGGCATTTTTGCCATTAAGAGACACCATAAATAGTTAGCTAACAAGACTATTACTGAGCTATTCCAGATGCTGGTAGAATGGAAAATGAGAATATTAAACCAAATCCTTCATTCAATCCATGTGGATAAAATTTCATCCTTTTATTGTCCATGCTAGAAGGTATCCCAATTAATTCTATTAATTTTTCCTTATGATATAACTTGTCTTTTCCACTGAATCAAAGTATATGACTTTTTTGCATTATCTAACCCTGGGATTGAAATATATTTTGCTTTGGTTTATAGGTTTATACTTAATTTAAGATTAATACTTAACTTAAGATTAATATAGGACAAAAATGGGCTTATAGCAAAACAAAAGGTTTTCACAGTTTTAAATTCCTGGAAATTTATTATGAATTCTAAAAATCTGATGGACTCCTCAAGTAAAATTAAATATAGCAGATGAGGATAGACAAGTAAACAATTTCTTGGAATAATATCCATAGCAGATGGACAATTATTGATATGGCAATAAGTGAAAAAACAAATTATTTAATTGTTATATATCTAACCCAACAGAAAAATGCTAAATAAAACACTTACCTTAAAACCACGATGAAGTATTAAGACTATATAGCAAAAAACAAAGCGCAGTAGCAGAAGGCGAAGGAAATCATCACCAAAAAACTGCATAAAAGAGTGATCTGTAAAGCAAGGATATGTTTATCAAAGCTGATTAGTAATAATTATTATGATTATTAATGATTACAGTTATTTTAAACAATGAGGAACATAAAATTTTGTTCATAGAATTTAAGTCCATTTAATAAAAATAAAGTTAATGAATTTAACTTAATCTGAAATGTCTATGATAAAAATTTAAATAGCTTTAAAGTAAATGAGTCAAAATTAAATTAAATGATATAAATGCTAAGCAATTATTAAATCAAGGAGGAGTGTATTAATGCATATAGAAATATTCAATTTGGTAGAATAAATCCTATACTAACAAAAGAATGTTCATGAAAGTTGTATGCAAAGAGTGAGTAAATATTGTCTGACCTAATTTCCTTGAGCGAGTGAACAGCTTCGATGCTTCTGACATGAATTTATCCACTTGGCTCTGGCATTTATCCCATGTAGTGATTGGAATGTCCCCAATATTACACACATAGCAAAATGCCATCAGAGGACAATGAAGGAACAAAGTAAACAGATTGCCTTTCAGATGTTGGTCTGAAAATAAATTTTAAATGAAAAAATCATTCCCAAGCAGAATTCAGAATTTGGACAATATAGTAAAAATTCTAAAAAAGGATATATTAGATAATATAGTAAAAATTCTAAGGGTTCAGGGAACAGTTTTCAGTATTATCCAAAATCTAGTTTCATTGAATTATAATACCTCCTTACTTAAGATTTCAAAGTAAATAAGAACAAGTTAATTGCTCTTAAAATGAAGACCTTTCTCAAAATCAAGAATTACTAAAAAACTTAAAAAATATTCTGTACTAAGAAAAATACACACAGAAAATAATATTATAAAAATGCTTGAAGAACTGAATAATTTCAGTCAGATCTTGGGGAAAAATGGTGCAGTTTTTGATGTCAGACCAAGTTGGATGCTGTTTTGAAATTCTATGCATGCTTTACAGGTGAAGAAAAGTTCAAGTAGCCCTGCCATTCATGCATTTTTTGTAAATTCCTTCAACTATCAACTTGCTGGTATGTAAGTTGAGAGTTGAAGCAATTTACAACTCAATTTACAATATATGAATCAAGTAATCAGAGATTTATTTTGAAAATTTTCTTCAGATGCCTTGTAATTTCAATCCACCAGAAAAATTTCTATTTCAGTTATGAGAACCCATACTTAATTTGGAATATTTGCATACAAAATCCATCTTATTTTCATATGAAAAAGAAGCCAAAATGTTTGACTTTTTCACCCTCACTTAAATCCCAAAATGTTTAACATCACTGAAAAAATTATGCTTAAAATCTTGTGTCCTAAAATAAACTTTAACCATATTTTTAAACTTTCATTACTCTCAAAATTTTCCTTTTTATCCTATTTAGAGTAATTTCCCCTGATCCATGAACCCTGCACTTGTTGAAAGAAAAGCAGTGACACAAACCTTGCATTGTTGATGGCAATTGTTCAGGGGACAGAAGGCAGACAAGGGGTTGACCAAATAAGTTAGGGAAACACTGTTAATTAAAGACAAAAATATTAAATAATAATAAATTACTGAAAATTATTGTTGAAAATGTTAAATTTATTAAAAACAATTCATCTATGAAAATATTAATTCCCACAACCTGCTCCCCCTTGTTTGGTGTAATGGACGACTCCACATAAGCTTATAAATATACTAGCGTAATTCTTTTTTTTATAGCTGTATTAAAGTTGAATAAAGCTTACCAAAGTTTATTCGCCTCTGATTATTCATTACAATTTATTCAACTTTAAATAATGGAACGATACCTCAAGCCTGACCGACTGGAACTCGATACTTCAGACCCTGACTCTAGTGACAAATGGCAACATTGGAGGGATATGTTCGAGGGATTTATTTCGGAGCTGCAGTCTTCTTCTACGTTGGCATGGACTGGCTCACAGAAATTAACCCTCTTATTACACCATGTTTCTACTCCCATTTATAAGTGTTTGACTGAGTGTCAAAATTACGATACTGCTATAAGCACTCTGGATGGTATGTTCATTAAGAAGAAAAACTCCATTTTTGCACGATACTTACTTGCTACTCGGCGTCAAGAGACTGAAGAAAGTCTAGAGCTGTATCTTCAAAACCTGAAAATATTAAGTCGCGACTGTGATTTTACTGCCCTGACAGCAAGCCAAGCTAGGGATATCTTAAGAGATGCATTCATCAGTGGAGTACGGTCTAACCAAATCAGACAACGGATGCTCAAAAACAAGGACTTGGATCTGGCTACTGCCTACGAGCTAGCCCTTACGTTGGACATGGCCCAGAAACAATCAGATCTCTATTCGCAACCTGATTTTTCAGGGGCTACTATTCCTGCCCATTCTCATTCCAAACAAATTCCCATCTCAAATTCACAACATTGTGACCCCCAGGATAAGGATTCTTCAAATACTATTGAACAACCCGTTACTATCACTTCAGCTGAGATTAAGTGCTACTTCTGCGGCTTTCGTAAACACGCTCGTTCATCCTGCCCAGCTCGAAACAGTAGATGTCATGGATGTGGCAAGCAGAGACATTTTTTAAAGGTTTGTCGGTCAGCCCCTTTACAGAAAAACCATTTAGCTGCCACCCTATCTCTATCTACCGTATCGACTGCCTCTCCCAAATGCCTCTCTAAAACAATTGTGCCGGCCAGAGTGAACGGACTAAATCTCCATGCTCTTATTGATACAGGGAGTTCTGAAAATTTTATCGATGCACATATCGTGGAAACAAACAAATGGAAAATTTTTCCCTGTTCTAATCAAATATCGATGGCCACTTCGTCCTTATCCTGTCATGTAATCGGATTCTGCACAGTTAACCTCAAGCTAAAAGAAAATTTCTATTCTAGAGTCAAGTTGCTGGTAATGAGGAACCTCTGCTGTGAAGTAGTTCTAGGGCACAATTTCCTTAACTGACATTCTCACCTTACAATTCCGTTCGGTGGTACCAAACCAGAGCTGCAAATATGTGGATTAGCAACTGCAAAAGTCCAATATCCATCTCTATTCTCAAATCTAACCTCTGACTGTAAACCTATAGCCGTAAAATCCAGACGCTATTCGCTCAAAGACAAGGAATTTATTGCAATGGAAGTGAAGAGACTTCTTAAGGAAAATATTATAGAGCCCAGCAAATCACCTTGGAGACCCCAGGTCCTAATAACGACTAATGAGAACCATAAAAAGAGGATGGTTGTTGATTATTCCCAAACCATCAACAGATATACACAACTTGATGCGTATCCGCTGCCCCTATTATTGACGAAATGGTTTCCGATATCACTAAGTATCGTATTTTCAGTACGTTGGACCTTAGGAGTGCCTACCATCAGATACCCATCAAGCGGAGGAAAAAACCTTATATAGCATTGAAGCTTGTGGGCGTTTATACCAATTCCCGTAGGATCCCTTTTTGGGGTTACAAATGGGGTCGCAAGTTTTCAAAGGGTAATAGATGAAATCATTTCTAAGGAGAAATTGAAGGGTACTGTGGCATACATAGACAATGTTACTATTTGCGGTTATAACGAGGAAGATCATAACCACAACCTCAAACGATTCATGGCCGCCGTAAATAAATATGACCTGACCCTTAATGAGGAAAAGTGTTCATATAATTTGAAAAGCATCAAGCTACTAGGGTACATAGTCAGGAATGGTGCCATGAGACTGGACCCCAAGTGACTTAAACCCCTAATGGAGTTACCAATTCCTGGAAATATAGTTGCATTACGACGAGCCCTTGGCATGTTTGCCCATTATTCCCAATGGGTTTAGTCCTTTTCTGAAAAAATACATTTACTTACTCAAGTAAGAACTTTTCCTGTATCTGATTCAGCCATTAGAGCATTTCAAAATTTAAAAGGGATATTGCTAATTCTGCCATTCTGCCATTAATCCTTCAGCTCCACTAGTAGTTGAAACCGATGCATCTGATTCGGCAATAGCTGCCTCCTTAAGACAACATGGTCGGCCTGTAGCTTTTTTTTTCTCTAGGACACTCTCGAAGTCTGAACGAAGGCATACTGCCATAGAAAAAGAAGCGTACATATAGTTGAAGCTTTACAAAAATGGAGGCATTATCTGATCGATAGACAATTCCACCTTATCACCGACCAAAAATCGGTATCATTCATGTTTAACCCAAAAACCTCAAGTAAAATAAAAAATGAGAAAATTGCAAGATGGCGGATGGAACTCTCCTGTTATTCATTTGACGTCTCCTATCGTCCTGGAAAGGAGAATGCTGCAGTTGACGCACTTTCAAGGGTGTGCAGTCTAACAACAAGATCATCTGATCTTCAGAGCATACACCGAGAATTGTGCCACCCGGGCATCACAAGAATGACACATGTAGTCCGGAGCAGGAATTTACCATATTCAGTTGAAGATGTTAAAAGAGTTACCAACTCTTGCCAAATATGTGCAGAAAATAAGCCGAGATTCTATAAGCCCCCTCAAGCAACACTCGTAAAGGCCACTCAGCCTTTGAAAGGCTTAATCTGGATTTCAAGGGTCCACTACCTTCTAAAACTCCCAATAAATACATGCTTACTGTAATTGACGAGTACTCAAGGTTCCCCTTCGTCATTCCATGCCCTGATGTAACGGCCACTACAGTTATTCAAGGCCTCTGCTCCCTTTTTGCAATTTTCGGAGTGCCTGCATACATTCATACAGACCGGGGATCTGCTTTTATGTTGGAAGGCCTCAAGAATTTTTTGCATGAACGAAGAGTGGTGGTAAGCCGAACCTCCCCTTACAACCCTCAAGGGAACGGGCTCTGTGAAAGATATAATGGAATAATATGGAAGACAGTTCAGTTGGTGTTGGCAAACCGGAAAATGCCGATCTCGAAATGGGAAAGTGTCATCCCCGAAGCTCTAAACGCTATCAGGACCCTACTGTGCACATCTACAAACACCACTCCACATGAGAGGTTTTTTTTGTTCCAAAGACGAAGCTCAACAGGCACTTCCCTCCCCTCATGGCTTGCTCAACCTGGAATCGTTTTGCTGAAACATCATGTTCGTCATAGTAAACATGACCCCTTAGTCAGCAAAGTGAAACTAATTGAGGCAAACACCCAATACGCCCAGATTAAAACTGCGGAGGGAAGACAATCAACAGTCTCCTTAAGAGATCTCACGCTGGCTGGAAATACACCTGAAGAGGCTACTGCGATGGAGAATCGCGAAAATCCAGTTTTCAGGACCAGCCGCATACATCTAGTTCGGATACTTTACCGAATGAATCCAATTTTTCTTATGAACTTTCTACTTCTGATTCTGAAGAAAGACCAACACCCCAAAACGGACTCACCCTACATCGGAGACTGAGACGTGTTTTTCAGACACCCAGCAACCTAAACATAAGAAAAAACGGTGCCGTTTCAAGGCTAGACACTCTACTCAGAAATGCGATAATCGTGATAACTACAACTCGTCGTCTGACGTAGATGGCCACCAGTCACCTGAACAATCAAGATGTTCCCAAAGGACCCGCAAAATGCCAGGTCGCTGGAAAGACTTTATTCTGTACGAATAACTAGCCGGTGGGGGAGAATGTTGTAAGTAATTCCCACAACCTGCTCCCCCTTGTTTGGTATAATGGACGACTCCACTTAAGCTTATAAATATACTAGCGTAATTCTTTTTTTATAGCTGTATTAAAGTTGAATAAAGCTTACCAAAGTTTATTCACCTCTGATTATTCATTACTAAAAAGTTTTAGAAGAGTGGAAAATACAAAATAGTGAATTTTTGGTATTAAGTGAAATTAATTTTATCCATTTTGCTAAAGAATTAATAGATTTTTTTTTATTCAACATATTCTCATTACTTCAAACATTATTTGAGTAGACACTATTTTTTTAAACAGTGTTTAAACATCTTCTTTATTAAGCTTTCTTGAGTGCACAGACCAGTAGATGAAATAAACACCATTTAACAAAAATCAGAGTATCTATTTAAATACTAAAAATAGAATTTGAAGTAATAAAAAAAACATATTGCTAATAAATATTTATGTTCCACACATACATTGTAAAGAAACTTTACTTTGCCTTACCAAAACTGAATCTTGTCAAACTTTCAAGAAAACAATTCATAATCCCATGTAAAGACATATTTTAATAATAGTAAGATTAACTGCTTCCTTATACAAAAACATTCAGCATTAATTGACCAAACAGCATTACTATCAGTTGAAATCTTTAAAATATTTTCTCAAGTCCACTGTTATCGCTCTTTTCCATATTGATGTGGGGTTTCTTCCTTAACCTTTTGTTTGAAGCAGTATGGAAAGTCAACATTTTGATTACATCATTATTTTCTCTTTGAGTTACATGTGATATCCATTTCAGCTGTTGCTGCTATTGAAAACCTTCAAGTGATGTGACTCCTGTTATTTGGTAAAGTTCTTTGTCATTCTATAGCACCAATTCACATGATTTGATAAAGGATGTTCCTCACTGAGACCTACAGGGTTC